GGATGGGAGATACGAAGATCCGGGTGATAACACATGACTGATTCTGTCCCAACAGCGAGGGTCATCTCTCGCAGGAAAGTGCGAGAACGTTCAGGATGACTCGTACGTCAGGATCAGGACTCTCTCAGGGGTGACAGAACAAGTGATGACGGATTCGACTTCTGATGGGACGAGAATCCCACGTGCGCTATGCCTGTTCCCTGAAGTTTGAAGGCTTTCCTCCCCAGCCCCTGACGGAACCGAGGTTAACTGCTTGAAGAATCGAATCCCGGCTCTACTGGAAGTTTCATTCCTGAGACGTGGTGTCCCAGGGTTCGCAGGCTGCCTCCATCTCCGTACTGCCGAGCGTGTGACCATTTACTTCTCAAGCGGAATAAGGGCTTGACGGGGTTCACTCGTTCGGGCTCGGTGGAGGTAACGGTGTTTGTAGCAATGGAGATCTATATCGCGCATATCGAAGGTTCCGTGGTCTCTGTAGGGTCGCATCGGGTTTCACCGACCAGTACCGGTTGAAGACGAAGAGAATCTAGATTAGTGAGTCATTGATGCGAGCGAACCATCTTGCGCTCGGTACCTCGCAGCGGCGTTTTCGATCCCTTGGAGATGATCCTCCTCATGAGAAGGAAATCTACCTATCGTCCCGTATCATCAGAGATGCTCTTTCACAAAAACTTCCGATCTGCGGGGAAATGACTCGAGAAGCGCGATACTTGAGTCGCTCGGAAACCCTCATCGCTAGGAGATAGACGGAGACTCCAGCATCGGCAGGAACGGACTAGAATCACCAGATAGCGAGATTACCGTATCCCCAAGTTCCCTGTTCGCGTACCGAAAGCCGTTACGCGGATGCTGTTATCGATTCGAACTACAAAGCTCCAGAAGTGATCATTCATGATACCTTCGATAAATGATCCATATCGCGAGCGTTGCCGATGGGTCACGTTGACTTGGTGGGAATTCTAGAGATCGATACCACGTAGCCCATTCTGAGAAAAGATTCTTAAGAGGGATATTCCATTTCTCGGCAGAACACGACAGCAGATCAGCCTGCGGCATGGGTGATGAATTTTCCCCCGGAGAAATCAATCAAAATCGACTGATCAGCGGGTATGATCGCCGCGCGAGCAAGCGTACATCGTTACAGATGCCATGCGATCCATCAGAAAATTTCGATCGGAAGCGAGCCATCTCACTCCTTCACTAAGGGATAAGTATAGAGATCAGCTTGCGAATGAGTTCCCCTTACTTTCGGCACACTTCACCGTCCTCAGAACGCCAATCCACGGAATTTCCACTTGATCTGCGATAGCGGAAGGAATAGGCGACTCGCTTGTCTTTGTTTTTTCTGGTCGGGCTTGAATTAGCTCCGCGTCAGAAACGATTTATCAGTCACACTGTAGATTAAATGACCTTTCAATGCCGCTCAGAATTTCTATTGGAGTCTTCGCGAGACAAATTGCTTCCGGAAGTAAATTCCCCATTCATTTCGTTATATAATGAACCGATCGACTTTTTCGCAAACTGGCAACATGATTCTCTTCGTCATTCTGTCCTGAAGTCTGTCCATCGGAAGGATCGCTAGGAGTTCGGAGGAGTCCACGAATTCGCCAACGAGAAGCCCCGGCGAGCTCTGAGCTCAGAATCTCCCTGCTGGATCAGTCGGAGTCCCAGAAGACAGAGAAAAAGACACACGCAGGAGAGTTCACCGGTATATGACTACACCTTCACAAAATCGTTGTGGCAGGTGAATCGATTGCTCCCTTCGAGGTGTTTACAGCTCATTCCTAGCCCTGTTCGGCGACGGACAGTATCTCCCATGACGCCGAAGAGAAATAGTCCGCAAGGTTTGCCAGGGTATTGCGGGAGATTCGTGAATCGCCTCCGGATCGATGTTTTCCTACGGAACGGGTGCCAAGCATATGGCGAGGCGTCGAGTTGTTGCCGGTCAATAGGGAGTCTCTTTCGATCATTAGCACCTGATCAATGTCTTCGCAGCTCCTCCGGTTCTCTCCCGAGAGCTCGCGATCGGAAGAGGATCATGGAAAGCGGTGGTGGTCGGAGAGCGACGTGCTTGTCTAGTCATCCACTTTCCGGGCTTCGCCATGCCGATCATAGAATCGAGATCATTTCGCCGCATTCTTGGGTCACCCGGAAACCATATTCAGCATCGCGATGAGCTTTCGTTGTGGTCGACACCGAACTAAACGACTGTCGACGGAAATAGTCTATCTGACTGAATCTTACAGTGTATATGCCAGTCCTCGCCCGGATTGCCTCCAGTGACGGAGGAGCGCCTGCGCCGCCATACGATCTATTCTGGACTCACGGCGATGATCTCATGCGTGAATGAGTCAGAAATCGGGAACAGCCGAATGACGAAACAGCGATAGAAGTCTCTAGTCACTTAATCTTCGAAACCTGTTCGGGACGAGAAAAATAAGAAGCGCATCCACGGCATGCCGGATTTCTCGGATGCTGAAATCCAAAATAGCTAAGAACGATTCAGCTCGAATCAGCCTCCCGATCCGACAGTCGAAACTGCTTCTTCTGCGCTTCCGAGTCGATGCAGGTATGAGGACGTCCGAGCTCTTCCGGGGAGTCTGTTCTCTTCTCCGAACGCTTGCCCGGTGAAATGATTAAGAAAAAATCCGCCCGTCTTGTACGTATAGGATGACACAATGTTGATCTGCATTTATTCTGCCCACGTGAGACGTTGCTTTGCAGCGCTAAGTAAGCATTCGGAGACGGCCCGAATGAATCCTCTCTCACGACCATTCTGTGTGCTTGCGCCGGCTTGAACGCTCAGCGCTCAAATGACCACGAGAAAAATTATGATGGGAAAAAAAAAAACACGGGAGAGCGATATGGAGCTCGTAGTCAATGTTGCAGTCAATGAAAGTCAAGACCTCCCCACGGAACGAGAGCTTCGGATGATTTGTCTTGGCCACGCGCAGACCAACGATCACACTCGTCCAACGCGAGACCTGCAGAATCCTAACCCGGAATGGCGCGAGATTATAATCGAGTTTTCTCCCACGTCGTCGTCGCGTTCGACCATTACAGTGAACCTTCCCACATGGTCGCGTCGGACGGTCGGCTAGGCGTTCGGACTTCGGCTCCGGATTGAGAAACACATAATATATGTACATTGAGTGTTAGCGTCAAGATGACAGACCACGGCGATGAATCCTACTTTGATGACTGACTCGAGTAAACGGATGTCGGATGAGTCATCGGCGCTTCCAAACTAGGATCTTTACGCGCTGTGTGCTTAGGTGTGAATTGTCTCTAGTTTATCCCGTGAGCTATCTACCGGGCAGTAAACGGAGATGATTCTTCTTCTGAACGTGATGCGTATGATGTTGTTCGCGCATCGATGTTCCTGAAGCAGCCGTCGGAGAGCCTGGGAACACAAGAAATCATCCATGATTTCGGATCGAGTGAGGGAGGCATAGTCATTCATGGAGCTCAGAGGTTTAGTCATATTGCCTCCAATGCCTATGGCTGTCTTTCTCGACGTTTCCCGATCGGATCTGCCTGTATTGATTTTTCCTTCGTGCCTGCAGTTTCTTTGCGAGCCCCTGAGACGCTGAATATCGGGGATTCCGAGAGATTTCCGGGTCCATGATCGGAATCGGAGATTCAATGGGGTCGGCCAACCCCTGCGCACGGAAAACAGCTTGCGTCCGATAAAGTACGATGGTCCTGAACGCAGATTTTTTTCCGATGATGTATGACGTTCCTGTCAGGCCAGCGTCAGACCGATGGGACTGCGATTCCCTACGAGAGTTTCCCGTGGGAGTGCACTGACGAAGGATTCAGTTCAGCCTTTTCTCTTCCCATAATGCCCATTTTCAGTGAATCAAGAAATTATCAGTGCCTCTCACTGCATTTACCAGTGCCTGGAATTCTGAGCTCTGGACATAAATCATCAGAAACCTTGCGAAAATCTGCTCGGTTAATCAGGAGAGATAAAAAATACCCCAAGCAATGGAGGAGGGTACGGAGCAATACAAGATTAAGAACGATCGACGAGGAAATCGCAGCATTCACAATGAAAACCGCCGGAACCTTGCCCGTGGCCCAATCTAAAGTCGGCCATTCAAAAGAATTGACTGAGACGTACATGGTCAAGCTGACGCTTTCGGGGTCGCCTTTCCGGGTTCCCCGATATCGCTATGTCGTCAGAGGGGAGGCATGTCTCACGTTCTTCGTCGGACAGTGATTCTCGAGGCGAATCTCAGAAAATGTTGCGAACCGTAGCTTGGATATCCTTTCTACGGTCGTGACGTCCGAAACCAATTTCTCGATAACGTCGTCGCACTCATGGCAAGATAGCTCCGAACAATGAGGAGCTACCTTCTCATGGATCTTCGCAGGGTCGCTTCTCCTCTGATCCGGAGTTCCCCGATCGACTCACGGAAGGGTCTGACGAGGGGCAATCGGGAATAAATTCGCCTCCAACGAAACAAAGAAGTCTCGTGGGGAGATTTCACGGGAAAAACAGTGTCTCCGGTGAACACGCTCGTTTCAGTATTCTATGATCTCATGCTCGACGAAGCCCTCCTCGCCTTGCCTCCCAGTCCCTCTCCTCCGCCTGTCCAACAAAGTGTCCTGAGCGACGCATCGACGAAGAATGGCATTTGAGAAGTTGCGTTGCCGCATCGCGTTTTGGTTGTGTCTCAAGAAAATGGGCGTTTCATTCCACAAAGATGAGTGCTGCTCGCGCAGCGGACTCTTCCTCCTCATCGAGTTTGTGAGTATTCAATGGACGGAAGCAACATTCTTCATTGTTACATTTCCTTGACACAGCAAAAAGTGGTGACGTTCTCGGCGGAAACGTTTCTACGGGCACTGTCACCGCGACCGAGAATCGAAGCCGCGCTACGCTTCGGTGAGATGTCCAGCGACACTCGGCGCGACTCTGTTTGAAAACATATTGACCGCGCATGCGTATGGGCCGACGCACCGTACTTGGGCCCCTGAGCCCTTTCTCTCGCGAGCCGAAAAAGCGCATGCCGCTCATACGTTTCCTACTCAACGTTGAGACTCTGAACACTGAAGAGCTTAAGTCGAGCTTCTGCCGAAAAAACCATGGGCGTGTCTTTCCATAGAGAAGAGTGCTGCTCGCGGCACGGACTTTTCCTGCTGATCGAACTGGTAAGGCACATATTTTATTGATTATGGTTCTCGAGGAACGTTTGCACCCAGAATCCATCTGTAATTCCCCTCTCCGCTTCTCCAAAATCCCCGTGAACTGTCATCTGACGACACTAGCGATCGAGCGACTCTGAAAAGTCCTTGATTGTTCAGTCTAGAAGAAGCCGCTCTGAGCGAGTGAGATGCGCACTCCCCGTTCAAATGTCCTTCGCGAAGCTTATGTTTTCCATTTTCTGTGGGGACTGCGTACATATTTTTATGGGTTGTTGTCTTGCATAACAAGTGCTGCTTTAACGAGACTCTGAAAGCCGGGAGCTGTCAGTATCGAGTCGTTCCATAAGTATCCACCGTGGAGCAATCCTCTATTCGATGTACTGAATGAGATTTATTATCCTCCCCGCGGAACTGATTCGGAGTTCTCCTGGACGCTCGCCAATTATCTCATCGCATGTTCCGTCACATCATTCCGCTGCTAAACAATATCCCACCCCGTCCTTTCCGATCAGAAGCGAAAAATCTGCGTGGGTTTTCGCTCTCGTGATCATCACATGCGCTCCGCGAGGACTTGGTCGCGCTTGATCCCGTGGAAAGCATTCTACGAACAACCAATGGGACAACCTGTCATTGACAAGCTTCGCGGAGCTCCACGTCCCGTGCTACGGTTTCGTGAGCGGTCGCTGTCCACGGAAGCCAGAGGGAAGAGAGACCACAAGAAAAAACACGAAGCATCGCTTGGTCACGACATTTCTCGCCAAGCCCTCATCACATGCGAGGCGGAGAGAATAAGATGAGTTTGGTTGGTTTCGCTAGAATCGGGCATTGGTTCCCGTTCCGGAGACCGCAAATTGGCTTCGGGCGCTGAACGCAATTCCGATTTTGCCGCGACTGTCCGGGACTGTTGTGGCGTTCAAGTATCATCGATAAACTGAATTGCTGTCATTTCCTCATCGAAAATCGTCGAATAACGGTCGTTCCCGCTTGATTGTACATGGACGTATCGAGAAGCGCAACTTATGTTTTCTCATTTATATTTAAACGCCCTATGACGGCGATATCTGAAACCGCTATCTGTATCCCAGAATCAGGGTTCGGCAATTAACTGAAACTGACAAGTCCACCCTTGAGAAGGCACGCCCTCAATGTCTTGCTTGACCTGACATCCTCGAGCCCCTTCCGAGAAGATCTCCTCGCATCTGCAATACATTGTGGAGCATTATCGGTTTAGAATGGTATGGCCTATCCGACGGTTCTGCCAATCGTTCCGAAGAGTCGATTTTTTCTGGATCTTAGACGCATTCAATTCGCCGACATTCGTGGCAGTTCGATGATGGATGAAGTCCCGGAATTTCTGAGATCGGAGCAATCCAGAGATGTCGTATGGTCTTCTGGATACTCGAGATAAGGTATCGACTTTGATTTGTTAAAGAGATTCTCGGTCCGCCTCCTGTGGATCCATGCAGGCAGAAAAATCCTCTGACGAATGTTCCTTCCCGCCATTCCTATCTTGCGACCGATATTTTCAGTCAGATGTTCTCAAGAAGACCCACTGAAGCGGGAGTGAGCGAAGAGGTCTGTGAAGCTATCGGCGCAGCCTTCGCCTCATGTATGCGTTAGCTGACAGAGAATCGCTTTAGCGCAACTAATTTACTTCCACCCTCATGCTCAGCATCATATAAGGAGGCCGTGTCAAGGTCCTTCAATTCGTACCGATAGTTGTGGGAAGCAAGTCGACGAGTGATAATCAGTGATTCTTCTTCTGATCTCTGACCGAGCCGTCCGACCGCACGGGATGCGCCCGCACGTCTCTGGACCTCTAGCGAAACCGTACTGAATATCTCCATTCCGTTGAGACAGCAACGACGAAGTGCTTCCACATTGAGATACCGACCGATTCCTGTACCCTCGGGATTGGATCGATGCGAATTTCAAGACTACGCAGATCGGGCTTTTTTCCTTATCTTTCATCAGAAGACACCCCGAGGCAGCCATAAGTACCACGGAAGGCCAGCGGAAGAATATGCGCGTCGAAGTCGTCTCGCTTCCTATGACTGATTGCTAGGGCTGAAATTTCGCAGCGATGCCCGGCGCAATCCGCGGCGCTCCGTGGCCCTCATTGTATCTCTGCGGAAGACAGCCAGGGAAGCGCGCGAGAATCAGCGAAAAGCCAAGATCTGCGAGAATTTTATAGCCCCACTGATGACGTACAGAATCCGTACACGGTTTCCGATTTGGAGTCTCCGTATGAGGTCCTTATACTTTCTGGCGCCTGTCCAGAACTCGTTTGGAGCCACAAGGATTCTTGGGAGTGACAGATCCTCTTTGAAGACTTACGAAGTTCCTCTGTGTCTGAAGTCGGCTTTTCCCCGAGGCAATCGAGGGCTGGTCTAGAGCTGGAGATGCGCTCGAATTTTCGTCTCTCGTTGAGGAATATTCTCGATGGAAACTTGAATTTCTCCTCCTCGTCGCTCTGCCGGAAGAGATGTTAATTCTATTTACCCCGAAGCCCGTTCAGCCCAGCATAGTTCCCTTCGAAGGTCTCATCTCTGTTCGAGGCCTCAGATGAAATATCTGTTCCCAGTCAGCTCAAATGGAATTCAATTATTTGAGCGATTCGTCGAACGCCGAATTCACTGAAGACTTCGACGTCGTCGTGCGGAAGGTAGGTAGTACTTTCTCGGCGGCCAAGGTTGCCTCCATCAGCGTCGCCATCACCACCCACGTTTCAAAATACCGGGGTCGTTGAGCATCTCAGCTGGCTGATGCACACGAGAAAACACTGATTTTGGGCGGCCCGGATCCGGAACGACCGGTTTGGGAGACTGATGGCTCTCGATGCTCGGGAATGCACGGATTCAGATGTTGTGGCCGTAAAGCGAATTATACGCTCGCGTCTTCCGACTCCGAGAAGCGACGGGAAATCGCGTCGAGAGGCGCGGGGTCCAAATTCAGGGCTCCGTCACGGACTGAAATTATGGACCCTGCGGCAATCATCAGCTTTCGTCGGGAATCAGGAGCGCTGCTCAATTTTCTGCAGCGATTTCTCCCCTGATCTTCTTGTTTTCGTCTCAATCGCTTGCTCCGGTCCCTCATGTTGTCAGATCCAGAGTTTCGACCAGCGCGAACCCTCGAGTGGGGATTCGGGGATCCCCGGTCTGTTGCTCAACGGAGCTTCTCCGGTAGTTCTCGGAGAGGAAATTCCGAATTCCCCAAGAGGAGCGACTTTCGTGGCAGTCGCTCGGCGAAGGACGCGACGAGACGCATGATCGAAGTGAAAAATAGAGGCAGAAGCTCCAAAATAGTCCGCCAGCACATGCCTGGAGTCGGATTTGCTCATTATGGCGGTCTTGAGCTGACTCAGCGACTAGAATAAGTACTTAATCCGAATAATTCGATCCCTCGTTCTGTTTCTACGTTGATATGGGGGCTCAAATAGCGGAGTTTCCTCAAAATGTTCTTCATTCCAGATCTGTGGGGTCATCATATTCTCCATCCTAAAGAATAACAACTTCCAACACTCCGAGCCGATCTTCTGGCTTCAATACACCTCTTTCATGTTCTTCCTGAACTCCTTCTTCCTCATCCTCTCTGGAGCTCTGACCGGCGAAGGGGTCTCAGGCAGCTTTTACGTGAGTCATTATTTCTCGAGGATATATCGATTGGACATTGGATTGGATTCGTCGATGGCCATTGCTCGCAGAGGCAGGGATGCCATAGCGATGATCAGAGAATTAATTTCGTCGAATTTCGTTGCAGCACAACGTTTACCACTTCTTCGGGCTGGTCCTTTACTGCGGTCTCGCTCTCTGGGCAATCTCGAAGGATGGCGCACCATCGGGCAAGGACCACAAAAATCAATATTGGGCCACCATGGTAAGGAATCCGATTGATGGACCATTCGTAGATAGATCTGTTTTTCGGAAAAATGAAGAGCTTCGAGTGAATCTCAATGAAAACTCCTCGCAGATCTTGTCTTTCGTCGCCGCTCTCGTACACGGCATGCACGGAGTTTTCAACTGCCGCGGATGAACTCCAGATTTTGAGGTGCAGAATATATATACGTAAACGTGAAAATCCGTTCCTGAGCTGCCCGTGAAAGGCGTTCCGACTGGACGTTATCAGGTGGCTCCTATCCACGATCACTCGAAAAAAAAATGCTCCGATCACAGTCGGTGTTCTCCCAATGTATTTAATGGCCGGTAAACAAGACAACAATAAAACTTGAATCTAGGAATTACCTTTCGGTTTATTCAGAGAAAATTGAATCAAGTGAGACTAAGACTTGGGAATAGTTCGCTTGATTCGCCTCCACAAAGACTCTTTCCTAGCTTTCGTCCGGGGTTTACGGTGAGATGTGTGAAATCGACCTCGGAATGCGCGATCTCCGAGTATGATATGGGCTTTCGTCTCGTCGGCACGACGAAACATCGGGTCGTCGTGTGATGTCAATCGAGGGCGCGAACTCCTTGTGAACCCCCGCCTGGGTCAGTCAATCGGTATCTCACCGAATTGCACCAGCCAACGGGGAATATATCGGGACTCTCGCAATCGACCCATTGATCGTAATCGCATGGGAAGCCTTCGAAATGGATTAAGAGAAGACGATCGACGACTCTTTCGATTCTCGCGACGCGAATGTCCTCCGGGGCTAAAACGTCGGTTGCTTCAAGCATCTGTCCGACTTGGAAACCATGGTCCGGCACCTCTTTCGCAAAAATCTCGGCGGGGGCGGCGTTACTTCGTGTTTCGTCGAGATATTCCTTCCACCTGGATAGAGAAGTTTCGCTAGAATTTTTTCCGCTTGCTGTGATCCATCGTTTTGTCCATAATTTCATAGCTCTTTCATAATAATCGTTTGTCGAGAGACTCCCCAACGGCAGAATTCAACCGGAGCGGTACTTCTCAGAGCACGTCATCGGTCGGATGGGGAGCCTCTCCATGAGGTTGATGGAGAGGACAATCAGGGGGGGCTCACCTAAAACACCTTTCCTCGTACCCGGGAGGTTTCTTCAATCTTATTCGGGCGATTTGAGCGTAACCGGCGGGATAGAGACAGTTGGACAAAGCGTGTACGCACATCCGGAGGCGCTCTTCAGGAGCTGAGACATCATCTGCTTCGACTACCAGGAAGTGATTACGCAGAACCTTACGAATGGTACCGATGCACATCGCGTCAGGACATTGGGGCGTGAAGAACTCGAGTTTCATTCCGACCTTCAGCTCTTGCGCGTCCAGGCTTTGTCGTTGCTGGAAATTCCCATCTCGGAAGTGAGTACCGGCTCCGACATACCTCCGAAGTGGGAGGCATATGGTTGGAATAGTCAAATCTCCGTCTGCGGATTTTCGGCCCACGGGTCTTCGGGAAGAATCGAGAAAAAAACCTGGAACCTACTTTCTCTAGCATATGTAGCGGGGTGAAACAGCCGACCGGAGCATCTTCATCGGAAAGTCTGTTTGCGAGTATTTTCCCCAAACTTGTGTCGAAGTATCTCTGCGTGGATCTGATATCTTGTCCGATGAGCTTAGCCCATCCGACGGGTCGTATCATGGTTGATGAGTCGTGGCACCAAAAGCTGGACGCATCGCTATCGGAAGATGTGCCATCCTCTACGTATTGCACTTCGAGTCTCCGACCGCTGACACAACCAACAGACGCCTCTCTGAGGCAACCGGGATCGCGGATATCGACAGCTTCCAGTTTCATTCCTGTAATGGCCTGCGCTCGTTCAAGTTCCATATTACAGAAGGCAAGGGCGATAAGGAGCTCTGTAGTATCTGAGAGGACTTCCGTCAGTCCTTCTATCTGCACGGGGAAGCATGCTGGACTGACAGTCGGACCTACCGGGCGAAAAACTAGTCCTTGTCGCCAATCGGAAAGCCTCATGCAATTTTTTGGGAATAGTCGAACAGTCGGCGAGTTTGGCGCTCAGGCAAGAAATCCAATCTTCTCGTGAATTTTCGATCTCCTTGGGTGGATGAAGCTCCTCTCCGTGCTCTACAGACCAGCCGACGGGATGGATGGTGTAGTCTGTCCCTCCAACAACGCCAATTTCAGAAGTGGTATTCATCCAGAAGTCGTGGCAAGAATCATCATCTGTCAAGGGGAGAATTCGATGACTAAATGGCGTAGCTTTTCGACCCGGAGGAAATTGAGCTGGCATCGGGAAGTCTTCGAGGGGGTCGGGGACACATTTCCTTAACTTACCGCAACCCAAATAGCGTAGCTTGACGAAATAACCGTGGACCTTTATGACAACAGCCAACCAATAGGCGATCTCGTTCGTTGACGCAGCTCTCGTCGCATTCTGAACCTCCACATACACACCCTCCCGCACGATTTCGGCCCATCGAGAAGCCAGAGGAGCTGAAACAAATTCGGCGACGGAAGCGGTCTCGAAGTCCGTCGATTCTAGGAGATGACCCCAGGAGCAAGGTTTGAACAATCTCTCCGTCGACATGTCCCTTTTTAGACTGTAATAGAGAAGTGGAGGCTGGCTTGTCATTGTGAGACTCGATTGATCGCTCATCAGATATCAGTAATACGGCTGAATATGAATCAATACGTTCGAGGAGAGAGCGAAAACGAGCGCTCTAACCTCACTGACTCGCTGGGAGAGTCGCGCCACGGCTCGTCTCCAAAATGGAGAATGGGAGTTCGATCAGCTGTCGACAGCGACTGCAACGAACTCATCAACTTGTGTCAGAATCCGAACGACCCAAAAAGCACTGGGCGCTCCATAGGTCCGAGACGCCTCCGAGCCCTAAGATAAGGCAGAAAAGATGAAGAAACGGGTGAGGCAGAGTTTGACTCGGTTTGAGCGCCTCTGAAAAGTGGAGAGGGTTTTCAAGACGTGTTTACATCGATGAACGCATTATCGAAATCGTCGGGCTTTCCGAGACAACGCGCCCGCGCTTCTTCGCTTAAGGATCATGCACGTTCGGATCGGATCCGGATATCTTGGCGGAACGCCCATTCAATCGATTAATTATCGTTGATTGCTCCATGACGAAGCCCGGCCAAGGTTCAGGAGTTCGGTCAATCTATAGCAACCTGTGATATGCAAGATTTCTTCCCGGAAACCCAGTTTCCGTGCTTCGGGTTTATGACTTTCCGGGTCAATCATTCTATTCTATGCGGGACCCCGTGCTCCCTAGGGTGGGATCCCGTTTTTATGGGAGCCGTCAACCCTGGTCTTCCCGGAGTTCTGGGGGAAAAGGCTGCGAAAAAGAATCCGGTACATTCACTACTCATCCGTATCATGTGTTATCGGTTTAGTCGCATCGGTTTCGCACACAGAGCGGCAACTCTCTTCGTAGAGCGAAGCGGAGCGTGAACCCAATATCGGAGGCGGAAAAAATTTAGCCATGTTTCGACTGGTATTTCTCCCGAAGGTACCCGCAGGATTTGGGCCTAGACCTGCGCCTCTGCCCTCGCTGTGTAGGGAAGAGGGGGAGCGAATCGCGAAGGAGTGGTCACAGACTTGATCGTGAAAATTATCAGAAACAGGGCATTTGCCGAGAAAAATTCTCATGTTCCAATATGCGTGATTCCTTCTGAGGTAACGCCAGACGATTACTCCGAGCGAAATTAATCGACTGCCCTGGGTGAGTTAGGCACGGATACGAGGCTATTATACAGGCTCATGACATGACATTCGGGATATACGAATCCTAGCACGAAACTCATGATGGCAAGATATGTCCAGCCGGGCCAGTTTTCGAGTTAGAAACAGCTTCTCTGGTACTGATGTTTGCTGCTTGGTGGATAAGGGAGGGGTCAGCTGTTCCTTGTTGCCTTGGAGTAGAAGACTTCGAGGAAGATAATACAACCCTCCACATGCGGAGGGCCCTGAACTGACGCGACGGATAGCCGAGGGGTCGGAGCGGCTCCCGATCAGATACATATTTGAGTCGACTAGGTCTGAATGCCTGGTGCAGAATGTCTCTGGCTCGATTCCTGGACCAGCTTCATTTCGCGGTAATCGAGGCTGATCCTTGTCATTCGTGGAGCCTTCATACAAATGTTGGTATAGATTACCTGTACCATTATCGACCGGAATGCTGCGCCTACCTTCAAGTCCCAACGAGCTCCCCGCGATAGAGACTGAGAGGGGAATGGAAGAAGACGTGCGAGGGAAAACCAAGCTCCCCTCCTGATGCTGCGTATTAGTATTCGCCTGGTCGGTCGCAAAACTTATTCGCAACCAAACGACACGCGTCCCTGTGGATAATAGCGTTCCTTCGGCACAGAGGCGAAGTTCAAAATAATGCGCTCTTTTCCAAGCGAATCCATAAAGTCATTGGGAAACTTGCCACTTGTCTTCGACTCTGAATGACATCGTTTTCGATCTCGTCCGACACTTCTGCTTCGACTTTTGATCCGGATGGGACAAGCAAATTGATGGTTTTTCGACCTTCGGAAGATCATAGCTTTTCTCCCATCCTCATTCGAGGCGAAACCCCTTCGTGAATCCTACCCACCTCAGGAAATGTCCGAAATGGGCCTAGCCTTAACAAAGGTTATGTATCTACGCCCTTCCAGGTGGACGTGTTTTGGTGAGTCAATTGTGAAGGAGCCATTCCTAGACGGGGGCGGGAGCCTCTGCTCGACAACTTACGCTTCCTTCCTCGTGACCCAGATGCTGGGATCCTGCAATGATTTCGGCCGGGAGATCTTGAAGCAGAACTCATTGAGAGATTTCAAGGAATTCACTGTTGATAAATCAAAAGTAACCATTCTTCCATCCAAATTCTGAAACTTTTCCGACAAAAGTTTTGACAGAGTCGCCCGCGCCCACCAGATCAAATCATGGAGCTGGCGAAGTATTTGCTGAATCCGTCATTGGGCTCCATGGAGCCGACGGATGTACATGCGATCGGAGCTTCTCGAGACATAATGCGAGCAGTTGAACCACGGCAGTGAGCTTTTCGCGATTAGTAAAGCTTATTTAGTGAAGTTCTGACTCTGTAGCCTCGCGTTGGTGATGCTGTTTATCTGGTTGTAATGTATCCATCCTCCATGCACGAATGCGAGATGAGTGAAGTCCGGAGAATCCTGGTGGGCGCAGGCCGACTCGTCGACGACAAACTTCGACATGATGTTTCAAAATCAGGCAGATAGGTAGTCAAGGGATCTTCCGAGTTCTGCTCCACGTTCTTCTCCGAGTACGCAATAGCTACGGATTACGGTAGCATGAAACATAGGATATTCTTTATTTTTGTGGAGTAAAATCAGCGTGGAATGTCTATCATCGAGACCCGAAAGGATCGTCGACCGCACGGCACATTCCAGAGATTCGGTGGAACTATCTCGCAACGAGCTGTCTTCTGTAGCACGGTGGAGTCCTAACGCATCTGTCGCCGTCGCATGTGTCGATGTCGTCGAGAATGTCACATCAGGCAAGAGACCACCAACATCACCACCACCTTCGCTGTAGCCGGTACGTGGACCGAGCGAGCGACAGCGCGATGCGACGTCCACAAGCCCATATGCTTGGTACTTGAAGTCGAGTATCACCGCGCGGTACTCCGGGATACTTCAAACTCTCTCGAAGTCCACTTGAGTTGCACAGCTGCGCCAGGCGGTTACCCCAGAGCAGCGAACTTATCCGGCCAAAGCAGACGGCTGGATGACTGCGAGCTGGATTAAACACAATTGCACATTGCAGAAGAATTAACGATCTTTCAAGAGCCGCATAAGGCCGCGACTGCTTCAATTCCTCACCACTGGGTTTCCGACGGTACTCGGCTACGTCTCGCTTTCGATCCATTGAACATCACTCCTCCGGTGATCGGATTCGAATACGAAGAATCGGTCTCTGCCGCGAGAGAAATTCTGAATCAGCTAGTCGTTATTACTTTTGGCATAACATGGGTTTCTCCCTCAAACGTTAAAAATAAGAGAGCTGAGAACGACGCACTAAGCCCCTAGCACACGAGTTGCCAGACCTTTCCCGTGGCGAGTTGCGAAGTTGATTAATGAAAAGTCATCTGTGAATACCCCTCGCTTCAATAATGAACAAACAAGTATTACACCTCAGAAGAAGGGTATAAGTGAGGGAGGCTCATTGCTGAAGAAGCTCACCAGAGACTAGGTACTGTAGTTTATCCTTTGGAATAGATCAGTAGAGAAGATACTCCACAAAGCCTTCGTGGCAGGCCGTTTCTCGATTGTTCGAATCAGCATCAGCCCTAAAGTTGTGTCCAAGTTCGAGGAAGATAATTCGATGAATTCCTACCCACAACCAGCTCATAGAGATGGAGTATATTCGCATCGAACAGGAAACCTCTTCACCAAATCGCCCAACTCCGGAATCATCCTCGAAATTGCAAAGAAAAAGGAAACTGATAGAACCTCCAAAGACACGATCTTCACTGTCATCTAGACCCACTCATAGGTGAACCCGGCGCGCTGAGGCATAGCGGAAGATTTTTCACCTAATAATCACGGTCCTATAGGAAGCCCGTAGCGTTCAACAGTGTTCTCTAACTCATCCAAGATCACAAATCCAGGGTACTTTGCGATCAGAGCGATGAACAGTATCATTCAGCTCCACCGTGAGCTTATAGTCTCGAGAGGAGGGAACTGATCGGGGATACAGTTCATCTACCCCGACCGAGAGCAAGCAAGCCGAATAATGGAGCTGTGGTCGAGAGTCGGAAAGTTTATCCAAAGCTCTTCTTGCCATGCTTCGAATTTTTTCCCGGATCGCCGTCCTTTTCTTTTCGATTGGTTCAACCGAAAGTGGCTCGGAAACCTCCGCCCATCGCAGAAGGACGGATGATCGAGGGAGCGAGGGCTCGAATTTCATCTCGAGATCCTCGACGCAGCGTACACTCACAAGCTATAAAAACGGTTATTAGGTAGGCCAGCGTTCCTCAAACTAAGAGGACGCGTCTCCCGGGGGAGACGCGGGAGAAGTTCAGGAGAGACGCGGAGGATCCCTAGAATTCCCAAACGACCGATTCATCGTCTCAGAGAGGTCACCCAGCTCATTGCTAGTTTGCAATAAGTCTTTAATCATTGTACGATTGATCGAGGAAGCCATATTCCATGGAGAAAACGGCACTGAGACCTGTTCAGGTCGAAATTTTACATTCTCAGATATACGGTGATCACCTTGCGAGACGCGAGCGCCCCCCATCAGGCTTAGGGTAGACGTCGGGGAGAAAAGTTTGAGAACCGCTGGTGTAAGCTTTAAAAACGGTTATTGTGTAAGCTATCATCCGTTCTCCAGAGAGGCTATTCTTCTGGTCCCCAATGGAGAATCCAAATCGATTAGGTTTCACGTGGAGCTTCGTGTGGAAGTTTTCCGGTGAGAACCGATGTGAAATGTAGGATCGGGATGAGTAAACCAAGCCCAGAAGTGATTCGGCATTTTGAGGTCAGGGAATCACAATTCCAAGGTTCTAGTCCAAGCGAGATTGCCGCGGGGAGGCAGGGAGGAGCAGTCATCCAAAAGGATTCAAAAGACTTCCACACATCGTCGAGGCGTGTCGGCGTGTCAGAAGACGATCACACCTAACTTCTTAAAAGAGTACTCAATGCCTGATGTAGGGGGGGATTATTGATACTAAACCGTTGACTCGATGATCATTGCTGCAGGCGTCCGATGCAACTCACTTCTCCTTTAATCCTTTGAAATTTGAACGCCGAACGTCGAGTCGAACACACTTTCATTAGGGACTCTCCTAAACAACAACAAGTTGGGATTTCGACGACAGTCCTGCTCCGAGGCTCTCCAAATCCTTTGGCGAGGCAACCTTGCCGGAGGCGATGCGGGGAAAAGTGGAACATCACCGTCTGATGTCTACTCGGCGGACGGAAAGCCGGGACGTCGCGAGTGAGAAGATCGGCTAGGCAAACGATCCGTCCCGAAAGAAAGCAGCTAGACCGACGGAAAGAAAGCAGCTACCGTCGAACAACGAGTCGTCTCCGTCATCCTATCGGCGCTGGCCACGCCGAATCCTCCACAGAAGCTGTAGCAATTACAAGTTGATTGTTTAAGTCAATCAGTTACCCTTCGCTGCTGGAGCGAACAGATCGCGTCGTCATTGGTCGACGAGCTGCTCCAATGGGCTGATAGGCGGACGACGATTGGCGGCTGGGACTCCACGGAGCTCCGCCTCTAGGTCCCCTCAGCTCCAGTCTGGAGAGCTGCATCGTTCGTTCCTTTGTGTGCGCTGTAGAAGAGCTCTTCACTTCAAGAGCCTTCAGCTGAGAGTCTTCGTGCGCGATTTTGCTACTTGCGTTGCCTTGCCTGCCTGCCTGCTTGCTGTGTCGAGCCTAGCGGACGAACCGACTATCCAACCGGCCAACCAACCAACCAGCCGACTAACCGAGCGAGCAAGCAGCATCCAACTGACGAAGCCGCTCTGCTAGGGAACCATCCAGCCTGCTGCCGCTGCCACCGTCTGCTAAGGGTCCAAGAGCTCTCGTGGCTGCACTCCAGAAGAACAAGCTGTTAAGTGTAGTACCATCCAGAGAAGTGCCTCCTAGACGACAACGACGACAACGGTTGACGCCTGCTGCCCGTCTACCTGCACTGCACTCCGAAGTGCCACACGCCTGTGGCTTTTCTCCTACTCGTCTTTTTCTACTTCAGTGCTGTTGTCTTCAACAGTCTTGGTAGTCGGTGTCGTTGTTGTTGTCGTCGTCGCCGACTTCAACAACGATTTGTTCTTCGGCTGAGAGCTGTTCGTCACCCGGAAACTCGGTCGTACTCTCGTCGCCAATCTCTTCAACTTACGGTTCTCAAGGAGACGGCAGTACAGGTTAGTAAACACCCTGTGCGGCTGGGTTCGTGGGGACTCGCTTGCCGTCTCATTCATACCCTCCTGTGCGTATATCCGATAGGGAAAGCTAGTTCGATCAGTCGGTGCGCGAGGGCCGACTCATCCCATAGGTTCCCAGTCTTGCGACTCCTCCACTTGAATTCAGCAACTGCGCGCAGATTGGAACGGTTGAGGAGCCGCCTTTGACTCCGACTTGTACCTCGATGAGCTCTCCCGACACTTCCCTTCTCACCCCTGACATAGTCCCGATGTCCCGAGTCCTGACCATGTATTTTCCCTAAGCCCGGACGATCTTCTCGCGAGATTATTGGGCGCTCTCACCGGAAGAAACGTGGGAGAACCGCACGGAGGACTTCCGCGTCTTCCATCGCGAATCGCGATAGATACTCGCTCCGATTTTCTCAAAAGAGCCCGATGTCCTCCTAGAAACTCAAGCAACATGAAGCACGTTCTCGACACTCTAATAAGTGGAAGAGAGCCTCAGTGGAACTAGGCTTTATCCCTAGGCTCCCATATCCATTTGCGGGGAGCGGTCAACGGGTTTGCTAAGCTCCGAGGAGAGAAAAATCAATCGATGAGCTCACAGTTTCCGTCGTGTATTTTTGATGAATAATTTTCCTCCTCACAGATAAGGATGTCCTCAATGAAATTAGAGCCGCAACCCACTCAGCAATCGTCTCCGTTCCTCGTTCCGGGTCTTATATCTGGAGCTCCCGTGGAGCCAGCGTTCGACATGAACTCTTCGCCAGCACCGATTTCTGCCGCTACCAACTACTGCCCACCGCCTTTCAACGGTATGCAGGGAACGCCGGGCGGCTACTCTCCCGAAGGGATCTACCAAACGAGCAATCAGCATCCGTCATGGTACACCACGACTCCTTCGCCGGATCCTCGTTTTGCCAGTGAGTAGATTTCATTGTCATAGCGGCGACAGGCGTCGGTCGAGTCTCTTCCGCAAGCCAGCGCGAGGTTCGAAACTCACCCCGCGAGCTTCTCGCACATCGGCGGTAGTACGAGGTAGATAATACGGGAGAATCTTGGAACTAGTCCGTTCTCATCCCGACCCGCATAATACCCCGCATCCCGCCGAAAGTCGAAGAGATTAAATTTGAGGGCGCGTGCTCATTCCTTCGTCGATGCTCGTCCTTCGAATCCTGGCAAGACGACTCTGCTCGACACCACCACATCTTCACCCGCGGGTCTCCGGCTCGCGCACCCGCTCCCTTCCCCTGTCGGATCTGAGACCCGATATGCTGCGGGTCTGGAGTTGACAGAGGCTCGGCTGAGATATTTCTAGCCGTAGCAGCATCGAGCGATCTGAAAGTTAGTTCCTTCTCTCGTGCACTGTTGTATGTCGCCGTATGACTTGGCCGGGTGACACTATAAGCTGTTTAGATCGTTTACGCCTTCTCTATGATTGCTCGTCATTGTAGCAGCTCGGTGGCGTTGTTGGAAACAGCGTATTGTTGGCGCTATGACGAGCTATGCGACACATCCGTACGGAGCATATAGCGAATAAGCACCTGTGCAAATCCCCGACGAAGCCAGAAGCGAACATCTCATCGTTCGTCGATTTTTTTTTCATGGGTCGAGCATCGGCAGCGGCCGACGCGGCTCGCTGTCCGTCAAAAATGACGTCTCTCTTCATCAGCTGTGTTTACACCCATGCCAGTCACACCTCTTCAACTCGGGCAAATATCTTACTTCGATCGTCTTTCTTCGCATACCTTTATTCCGATCGCGTACACCCGCACACACATAGACAGCGAGCTCTCGGTCGCAAATATCTTCATATTGACTCGAGCATGTCGATTTGTCGGGAATTTCTTTGAAATTAAAGGAAAATAATTCCGTTCTCCCGGATAAGAAGGGAATCGCTCGCGAACGAGAAGCGGAATGGGACTTTCCTAGGTGCGTGTTCCCAGCCCGAGAGTTTCCCTGAGAATTTCCGACATCTCTCACGGTGAAGGCGTTCTGCGATTCTATCTCGAGCGAACGATTCTTACATCGCTGATTGGACACTATTGAATTGACCTCCATCTCCTCCAACGACGGACGGTCTCGAGAACGAGTTTGTCGCACACCGGAAACAGTCTCCGGAGAACATTCCCGGCTCGATTGGCCTCTCTGAAGTTCGGGTTTCCACCTAACTTCGTCGGGTGTTCCCGTCTGCATGGGGAGCAAGAAGCCACTTCCCCTCGCGCTTCAAGTCGACCACATTCTTGTGTGGCCTTTTTCTAAAAACGATAAAATAAAAACCGGCCGACGAAGAGGTGGTTTGCCTCGGAAAGTGGCAAACCACGTCTGGCTGTGGCTGGCCTCCCACGCGGCTAAAGTGCTGAAGTGCTCTCGAGTTGACAGGCGCCGACTTGTTCGAAGGAGCTTTGTCTTCGACGAGCGACAATGACAACAACGACGGTTTGCCTGCCTGATGACCGCCCTATCGACCCACCGACCGACAGAGCGAGCAAGCGAGCGACCGTCTGGCTGATTGACTGGCTGGCTGGCGGGCGGACTGTCTGACGAAGTAGACCAATAGAGTAAACAGAAATGTTGGATTATTGAGGCCAAAAGCGCAGCTTTTTTTCCAGTATCCCGGCTCATGAGCTCGTCGTCGGGGCCTTCGATCCCCTCGTCATCGGGAGGGCCCCTCCAGTTCCCCCTCAGTCAGCAACGTCGCAAGCGAAGGATTCTATTCACTCAAGCGCAGGTCTATGAGCTCGAACGTCGCTTCAAACAACAGAAATACCTATCGGCGCCCGAGAGGGAGCACCTCGCCAACCTCATACATCTCACGCCGACCCAAGTCAAGATCTGGTTCCAAAACCATCGCTACAAGTGCAAACGCCAAGCCAAGGAAAAGGCAATGTCCGAATCTCACTCGCCGCGCAAGGTCGCCGTTCCCGTACTTGTTAAGGATGGCAAACCATGTTCGCCGGACATGATGCACGACTCATCGTCGCCGGACAACATCCACCAACAGAGTGAGTTTGAATCCTTGAACCTTCTTTTCCATTCCCTTCTCGTCATTCGATTCACGCGAAGCAACGCGCCGACACCGAACGTCTAACGGCTCGATCCGATGAATATTCTCGTTTCGACCTTTGCTCTCTCATCTGTCGCGTCTTGTTGATCTCCGGACCATCTCAGAATTGGAATCGAGAGCGTAAACGCACAAGGAGTGGACTCTCGGCTCCAACGCCGAAGTCCTCGCATCTCGAAGCTGTGTACACATCGGCGAACACGACGCTTTCAGCTCAGTCAGACGCGAGTTGCGAGTGAACGGGAGCGGCTCTTTGTTGGTTCGCGACACTTTGCGAAGCAATCGCGAATCGCGACCAACCGATTTGCGGTTTGAAAGGAAACTCCGGGCTCCGAGACAGGAATGAGGCTTACGGGTCTTCATTTTCCTGCGTCATCTTATTCCGGTCGCTGGGGTCGACTCACTGATGCGATATTGCCACTCGAAAACTTCTCCGCAGAAAAAAGCTTCTTCAAGCAAAATATTTTCTCTGTCGGCGACTTCCGTTAGCATCTGCAGCACCACCTCGTTGAGTTCATCTTGAGTGGCTCAGCGGTGGCAACTGTCTCAAAAACGAGCTCAGTGAGCCCGGACAGGCTCCTGACTCTTTTTCCCGGCCGGCTCGTTGCAGCCGAGCATCTATCCCTCGGCTATTACCGGCTGTGGGCCCTTTCACTTTTGGGAAAAAGTAGAAACGGTCCGAGGGACCATCCCTTGGCACAGGAGGACATTGTAGTGTTTGTTCCTGCCTACTCCTGAGTCATTGTGTTTGTTAGTGTGAATGAGACGGTCCAGCTAGTCAGCGCACTCACTCGTGGCTGGCTGCCCAGAGAGCTCTCATATTAAAGAGCTTGTTTTCTTTCAGTGATGTCCTGCTACCCCCACGACCCGCAGGCCCATCTGCATTCTCAGCTCCTGCACCATCAGCAGGTCCAGTACTCTCATCCGCAACAAGACGGTCACGGACATCTCACAGCGAATCCCTATCTACATCTACAAGGGAGAACGTGGTAGATGATGATGTTGAAGAGTACATAATATTATTAGTAAGGAATAAACCGAAGCTATTGGTCTCCGACGGTCAAGAACGGGGAGAGGGACCCCCGTCGTTCCAAGACGCCTCATGAGGCCCTTGGATCCTCCAAGGTCTTCGACGTCCTCTTGTTCTAACAAGTAGAGTCATCGGATTCTCACTCTTCCCGGAAGCGGGAATGAAGTGCCGTCTCGGAGCCCCGGAGGTAACTACGATGGGCTTCTTAAACGAGGTCAGTTCACGCACAAAACTGCTACTGATCCCGACTCACTCGCGACAACACCCCAATCGTATCGGGCACCGTTAGGCTCGAATAGTCAGACTGCCCACGGCGACCCGAGACGGCGAGAGTTTCTGAGCTCTGGCTCATCCGACTACCTGCTCGAACGAGAAACTCGTGGATCGTTTCTGCATCGGCTTCTGTTCCGGCCCGTAGACTTCTCTTTTTCGTTCTCCCCGGAAGAGGGTCTTAGAGTTCAGCGAAGCCATGTGTAGTATGTTTGGTATAGAGCTATTATTACAATTTCTGGCGTGCATTGTACAGTGAGTGTCAGGTGCGGCCTGGAGCGCACGTCACACGGACGCAACTCGGCGAGAGACATGCTTCTCGGATTTGTAAATAAAGTCGATGACTCGCATGTGGGCATGAGTCAAGTTTCTTGTAGAACAACTCGTCTAATAACTCTTCTCGAGCGGCCCATTCCGGCAGTCTGGAGAATTCCATGTCGGAAGCAATTCCGGATCACCGACAACGGGCCGAAGGTTTCCCGCAGATTTCTGAATCGGGGGTCCGTTCGTTCTCTCACGACTTCCTGTCGCTGTCATGCACATCATCGTTCTTGTGATGATGTATTTGAGGTGCTTGTCGTAGTACCGTTAAACAGCGGTAGGATTGTAGGAAGGAGAAAACGAAGAAGGAATGCTCCGGCAGTCAGTCAATCAGGCGAATCGCGAGTGAGCGACAAATCGCGCTTTGATTTGAATCGTCATCACAGCGGGACGCAGTCAGCGGCCAGATTTCAGAGCTTAGCTGCTTTCGCGCTGAAGCGTTTGAAAAAGCAAAAAAAAAATTAGAATGGCGAGCGAGGAATCATTTGATTTTTTGCTCAGACTGCCGATCGACCACACCGAGAGGTGCCGCAGCTTCGTGTATGAACCGCGGTTCGATGCGACTTTCCAGTGCGATTGTGACGAGCCTCGTTCGATGTCACTCCTCCGTCAACAGACTTGCTCCCTCATGCTCGATTGCGAATTGAAGAAAATGAAGAAACAGACGTCGACAAATATCATTGGTCGGTCGCTTGACAACATTTTCAAAAATGGGGGTCCTGTTCAGTCACACTCGTCATCGTCGAGGCTGCGGCCGGAGCTGTGGAGTTTCGGTCGCCCGCTGAGCGATGGGAAACAAAATCTCTCGATTAAATTGAAACTCATTTGGAATGAGCGAGGAGCATTGAGAAAAACGAAATGCGAGAACAACGGAGATGAGTGGTCTGGACTCTGAGGATCGACACATAGTGACGAATTCCGCGCATGTCGCTTCGATATCCCGGATGTCACGAAAAACGTCGGTTCTCTCAGCTTCCGGTGCGAAGTTGGTGCATGGTGGACGGAAGGGTCCCTGAGTCTCGGTGGCGCGGAGGTCGGAATCGGTAAATTCCGATGAGGAGAGAAGCTCCCTTGGAATTAGGAAGCATGAGAACGCATTCGATGTCATCTCAGGAGACTTCGCGCACAAACAAACACTTTCGCAAAAATCCGAGGCCTCTTATTGACTAACGGAGCACCCGCTGGGGTCGAAGGCAAATGAGGAAGTGCAGACAAACTAAAAAAATACTTCTTCAAATCAATGCTCTTTGGAGCAGGTGGAGATTCCGCATGTGGAGCCGCATGTCCTCGGTCGACAGGGTTCTTCGATGGAGGCAAAACGGAGCTATCGCAATCGTTTTCGTCTCCAATACCGATGAACAAATGATTCGAGCCGAAGGTCGATCTCCCGTGAGCTGTGATTTCAACTGAGATCCCACTTCAGAAGGAGCGTGTCGCGCTTGCCAAGGCCGACCTGCGGAAGCTCGCTGTTGGAAGTTTCCTCGGTGAAAACTTTCCGTCCGGATCCCGGAGCTGATATCATTATTTCATCTGCCGAGGACATCAAAGCGAACGGCGACCTCTCGTTACCTTGAACCAGTCCCAGAGGGAGCATTCGTGACGAAGTGAGAGAAGTGGCTTATGTTGACGCAGAGAGATGATTTCTAGCTCACAGTCTGACCGATACCAGAGCATGGGTGAAATCGCCCATAGCTCACGAAGTGACCTCAGGATGACCTGCGTGGAAAAACATAGCGACCAGAATTGTTCGAGTTCAAAAACTTCCTCGAATCTGCCGACGGTCGCAACACCACCCTCTATTCTTGCATTGTGTCCAGAAAATGAGATGCGCATATTTTTAAGTTCGGTCCGTTCTTCGAACCCGGTAGAGGATAATGGAGAAACGACAGGTCTCCGGGTTGCGACTTCAATTAACGGTCACAACACAGCCGAGCGTAAACATAAATAGATAAACAAGCGAACTCCGACAAACCCCCTACATACATAGGCCTGAAAAGCATCCTGCATCACGGGTCCATTGATCGGGAGTCCGCCGAGGTCTCACGACCGCTGCGATCTCGCGATGTCCACATTGAATCCGATGCACGGATCGAGCCGAGTAAGGAAGCATTATGAGCCGATCATTCATTGATTGCGCGTGGATTCTCTCTTGTGTCTGATTGAGGAGAAGTTCAACTCTTCCCTCTCAATCAGCAATCTCCCATCTTCCGTCGGAGGAACATCGCCCCCCCACAATTCTCAATTTTCAAATTTTGAACTTCCGCTCCTCGCTCGAAAACCACAAACCGCGTGACGAGTAGAATACAGTAGTTCGGAATGAAGTCCCCCACAAGCCATCCTCCTCATCTCAAGAACACTTGAACCGTCGACGGAGTCAGTTGCGTCGCATTTGCATGTGATCTGCTCCGGCTCGACCCATTTCGACCATCGGTCCCAGTGGATATCATCGAGTATTCGAAATCGTCGAAATTCTAGTAGGCCGTCGGAAGGTAAGAAGTTGGACCAGGAAGAGAAGTGACCGTGGAACATTCTCTGCTAACATTCGATGCATCCTACGGTCAAGGCATGAAATCTGGGTAGTTTTCCTCCTTACCCTCGCGAGACCGAGAGCACCGCTCATTGTTGTGGGAACGAATGTGCTCCTGCTTGTTTCGCTCGATAACTGTCGACCAACATTGCGATAATAATCGATGGAATGGAATATTTCAGCCCAAGTTGCTGCTTGGGATGAACAAATCCTCTTGTGATGAGATGGGGTCAGAACGATTGAATCGGATGATTTTCCGTGTGATGGGAATCGTTGCGTTCATTCGAAACATTTGCGATCGATAATTATTAAGGAGACGGGATCCGCGTTGAAACGGATATCGTTTGATCATTCTACGAAGTCCTCCTCAAACAATCGAAAAAAGGTTGAGATCTTCGAGATCCACGGGATGACCGGACAAGGCTCATTCCACAACACGTAATGAGGGGGGTTCGGGGACTCATCAGCCTGTCAGTCTGTCGATTCAGCTCGAGTACGAGTTCTCACGGATCGACCACAAAAAAAACGGGAGGCATGCGATGACAATTTGATGATGACTCGCATTTAGAGTTGTGGATTGGTTTTAAATGTCACTTGTTCTGAGTTTGATCATAATTGAGCTGTTCAATTCGAGCACGGAGCGCGGCGGCAATTGCATTTGCTCTGCCGGATCTCAGCAGGGAGGTGAGATTGCTGCGAGCGAGTCGGCGAGCCATAGAGCGAGACAAACTTAAAACACACGGGTCGCTCAACACTCTGAACACAGTGTTCGGCTTCCGCGCCGATTGAACGACAACTGGGGGCTTCAAGCAGGGACTCCATGGGAAAAACCTCGACCAGCGGAAAGAAATCATTCACTCCCATAGGATACGGGCTCCAGCCGGAGCTTGACTTTTGATCGTTCGACGTAGCATCCTCGGAAGAGCAGTCGATATCCAATTCCGTTCTCCCTGCAAGATGAGCGGTTCCTGGTCCGTTCGCGCGGGTTTCCGTCCCGGTAGGAACCTATTGAAGTCACAAGGCACTCGTTCGTACCCACTCTCTTGATCAGCAAGAACTTATGGAAATGGTGATTTGTGTTCGCGCTCCTTGAGAACTGCTCACAACCACTACGGATGCTGTTACCGCTGCTCGTACGATTTGAGAAATTTCGGAGCGGTCTGCATCGGGTGAAGTGCTCTTAATCTCGAATCTGTCTAGAGTATCTGTTGGCCCATCGGCGTACAATGTGAACGCGCCTCATTCTCAGGTGGTAGCGGTGGTGGGTGCTGCCGACGGTCCGCAGGTGTCTTACTGACCGTGTGTTATGTCGACGGGGCGATCGATGTTGTCGTGATCGTCGATCCTCGTCTCTTGGTCTTTCTATTTTTTTGAGATATCTTCTTTTTTCTTCCACTTTCACCAAAGAATAGCTTGCTGTTTGCAGTCCACTTGGACGCTTCGAAGCACAGCTATCACGCCTTCTCCAAATAGTTCGATACCTGACTGGCAGTCCGTAGGCTTCACTGCCACACTGTCACCTCAAGGAGCTCAACTTCTCCTCTGACTGAATGACCGACCGACTGACCGACCAAGTGAGTTCGTGAGGAATTCACGAAGAGAACACACTTGACCGAAAATAGCGATGTTGGTAAATACTCCATCGAATGCCGTTGCATGTCAGATTAGTTCCGCAGGTGGACTACCTTCGTTGACGAGTGTTCGCGATCCACGGATCGAACACTCATGCGGGACCTCATTATGAGGGAGGAAAAGATGAGAGCAGGAGAAATGCTAAAAAGTATAAAGTAATGTCCTGTATATGGCCTTGAAAGAGGTTCTCTTCCCCAATCGCGATCTATGAAC